TGTACTGGTCCCTGTGTAAAACTGGGAACTTTTGCACATAATATTTTCACTTGTTGCAGATGAGAGCTGGGGTACTGTATTTATGGACACTGATCAACATATAATATCAGCAGATAGGACAGATCATTTTCTCAGTGAGCCTGTTGCACATGTTCTTGATTTGTTTGAATGTGGTTATGACTGATGATGATTTCCTTCCTGATTTTCAGCAAAGAAGTTGAGGCTTCAGCACATGACTTCATCTGTCCTGGAGTGTGTGTGTGTGTGTGTGTGTGTGTGTGTGTGTGGAGGAATCCGTCTTATCCTCACTTCAAGACATAGATATACAATAGCCTACACACATGCATAGTCTTTGTTATTTTTTCCTCCTGATCCTGACCCAAGGTAAGTCGATATTCTGTGCTTTTATGTTTTCTGATATTTGTTGTGTGCTTGGAGGTGAAGGGGTGTATGCACGTACGTGGGTGCACATTTCAGAATTGCAATTTCCAATCTACATCATATCATCCAGTTTGATCCATGGCTGTTCTCCACAGCCCGCTCTAGCAATGTCAGTGTCATTGGCATCATTGGGCAAAATGTCATCCTGCCCTGTCAGTATGACACCCAAACTCACCCAAGCATCCTGAGTGTCTGCTGGGGACGAGGAGAGGTGCCCAGGTTCCACTGCTCTGACACCATCATCTCCTCTCAGGATGGGCTTGTACATTTCAGCCAGTCCTCCAGGTACCAGCTGCTGGGGGTGACCGACGGAGATATGTCCCTGACCATTCTGAACGCTCAGTGGAGTGATGCTGGTGTGTACGGCTGCAGGGTCAAGATCCCAGGATGGTTTAATGACTATAAGGTCAATGCGCACCTGGTCATGGTGGAAGGTAATGCTCTGCAAACTGTTAATGCTGATCAGGCTCTGTGGTGTTTTTCGGTTGAGCTTTAAGGAATTGTGGACCACTCTACCAGCTGACATTCACTCCAGTACAGATCTGGCACTTTTAAAGACCAGACTAAAGACCTATTTATTTACACTGGCATTTATCTCCCAGTACTAGTACTAGTAGTAATACTCCCAGTAGTACCTTTTTTTTTTTTGTAAGTGTATTAAGTTATATTTTACTATGTCATCTGTTTTATTTGTGTGAAGTACTCATTGTTGTTGATGTGCTTTAATTCTGAACTTGGTTTTCCAGTTATTTTATTTTATTTTTTACTGTGTTATTAGACTTGTGTAAAGCACTTTGGTCGACCTCCAGCTGTTTTAAAGTGTTATACGTTGATTTCCAGCTACTGTAGAAGAACCTGTTACCCAGGACTGGATACCTCCTACTGAAGATGAGCAATCAGGTGTGAATGAATAAATATCATGTTAAAAGTGGGAGGTGATGTCGATATAAACTCTCTTTTTTTGCAGACGTCTTTAAACAGATGCATTATTTGCTATTCAGGGCCAAACTGTACTTGAAAAATGGCAGTAACTGATAGTTTCAGCTCTTTACAGAAATACTGACAACACCTGCACCTAAAAGTCTAGAAGTTGGTGAGCCCTCATTGGCTGCAATGGGAAGAATACCAGCAAAGGTAGGGTACTGTTTATTTCCAAAATGAGGATGTATAATATACTGTATGTATTGTTTAAATACTAGGTTACCCATATCAAAACCAACAGTGCTTTAGTGTCTGAAGTAATGGTTTTTACATGAAGAACTGGACAAAAGTTCAGACCTAATCTAACTAGGTGTTGACTTGCAGTTAGATACCAAAATAAAGAGGACAAACACCACAAACTCGTTTTGTTCATAAGCAATATTGTGGCACATCTGGCCTTCTTCAGGAAAGATTTGTCTAATGAATAATGTGGCACATTGTGAATCGTGTTAGGAACACCAACAAAGTTATGAATATGTCATTTAAACTTTAAGTGATTTTACATGTGTGTGTGGTTAAAGAACAATGAAATATTACAATTTTGAGTATATAGCATATTTTCAATACGTTTTATGCTGCTTGTACACAATATGACTGTAAGCCATTTACAACTGACTCAGTTTCTCTGGTTCGTTTTCATTGCAGGAAAAATTCTTAAGCTTCCTGGACGTGGGGAACATCGTCAGGATGGGAGTTATTTTCTTCTCCACTTCAAGCATAATATTTCTCTTTACTTTCTGTAAGTTTAGAGTGAATAATAATTTGTGATTCATGTGCCATTTTGATTAATCTGACACATTAAACATCTACTGACTGTGAGCCCTTTTTCTATAGAATGAGAAAATCATTTAATGTTTGTATTTCTTCCAACCAGGGAGAAGGTTTTGGCCAGAGAGGACACTTCAGCACATCAACACCTCAGCTGCTGAGAACATTTACGAAAGCATCCAAGTGGTGTGATGCTCTGCATTAGTAAAATAAAGTATTGTACAGATTTCTACAAGGACCTTCTGGGTGAAGAAGTGCCTGCTTGCCATGTGCTGATGCCTACCATCTCCTCCTCCTTTGAATTCTTGTCTGTGAAATCAGCAAGGGGATGAAACAGTAAAGCAGCTTACAGAGTCCCCCTGCTCTGAGATAGCAGTGAAAAGGGTAAATGTGTGTCAGAAGATGCAAAAATATCCTGCTGCTTAATCAATTTGCTTTTATCTTTATCTGTTTCATGGCAAAATTAATCTCAAACCCTGAAAAGCCTGTGGGTTGTGTGTGTCTGTGTGTGTGTATTTGAGGGTGTGGGCACAGCGCCACCTGCTGGACATAATACATTATTACCAAGATATCAGTGGAGAACATTCTACTCATAATGTGAGGTTGTTGGGTTGGATAGGCAGAGTAATGAGAAGGTGGGAGAAATGTTTATAATGGTTTACAGTATACTGTTAATACTGTCAATATGTTCTGAAGGAAGTTAGATGTAATATCTGCATTGTGTGTTATCAAAACTCATAAAAAACAAATTTTAGACATAGTTAAGGTCCACATGAATGATGTTTTGACTACATTTTTGTCAAGATTGTGTTCAGTTTAACTGGTCTGATGAAATGACTCCATTTAAATGGGAATCACTGAATACATTTTCTGTTTCTGTCCCAATCGCTCACTTTTATTTTTTTCCAGGAATCACTGATAACACTGATCTTTTTCATATTTTGGGTGTGTTGTTGTCTCTCTGACTTAATGCAGCAATACAAGCCAAATTAATGGAATCAGAGGTGAAGATGCATTTTGCTCTAAATGAGGCCGTGACCGTGTTTACCGAAAATATAAATTTCATAACTGAGAGAAAATGAGCTGCATGTTTTTCAGTTGTTGGTCATTGTGAGAACTTTTATGTCACTGTCCAAAGGCTTGCGCAAAAACCAGCATTGCAAGAACAATAAGGTCTGCAGATTTCTCTAAAGAAATGCCTGTTGTGACATTTAAACTTCTGAACTCTTGTTTGTTAATAAGTATGAACAAAAATGTGCCAGTTCTCTAGAGCAGCACCTGCAGGGTCCCATTCTTCTCAAATTGCAGTGAAAAAAGTAAATATGATGTTATTTGTGGTGGAGAAGTTGTACAAATATCCTATAGATTAGTGAGCACCCTTTTCTTGTTTTCTTGTTTTTAATTTCAAACATAAATTCCAGGCCAGAAAAACCCAGGGATTGTTTGTTCTTTTTGGCACATTGCCAGCTGCTGGACTTAATACATTATTACCACAATATTAGAGGAGAATACAGCAAGTATCAAACTCATAAATGTTTTTTTCTGTAAAGATGATGAATTGCTGTTGTCATCCACAGTCTCAGACTTTATGTATATTATATATATTGTTTATGATCAAAACTGATTTATCTTTTTTAATCCAGTCATCCAACACAAACAAGAAAGACATTAGTTTGTATGCTTGTTCACTCTGTTGAATTTCACTCCGCATTGTCACATTTCAGTGGAATAAAGTTGCTCTGTCAGTGTTTCTGTTTTAGTTCCTATTTTATAGTGTAGAAAGTATTAATTTTGTTCTCGTTTTGGAAGTTTCCTTTCTTATGAATTAGTGTAGCAATGTAAGCAAAATCCAAGAAGTCGGGGGGGAAGGTATTTTTCCTGAATCAGCTAACAAATGGCACACATGGGGAACATATATACTGGCTGGCCAAACCAGTAACATGAAAAGCGAATAGACAAAGATACTAACTAAATAACTTACCAATAAACACTGAATAGACAGTCTGATAACAGCTAAATATTTTTCTTTAGATGTAAAAATAAAACATAACTTGGCAAGTAAAGATTTAATATAAATTACAAACAAATAAATAATATGTTTCTCCCAAACTCCCCCCTCCCTGTATTGGGCACTTGGTTCAATCCTTGCCTAGTGGGAGGTATTTAAGCCTGCTGCTGCCTAAGTCCAAACTTTTTGTTGGGACCACCCCCATATATGGATTAGGAACAGTGTAACTCAAAACGAAAATTTGCACGTCGATACAAAATTAGCCAAATGTGCATGTTTCATTGATTAATTATGTACTGTATGTCTAAACCTAATGTCAAATCAGATGCCTAAAATCCACCTATAACTTTAATCTACACACATGAGCAAAGAAAACAGAAGAACATTAGCTAGCTAATTCCACTGCCAGTGGTGGTGAAGGCCAAAAATTCACTTCCATTTTGCAAATCTTTCAAATAATTATATCACAGCAATTGGAGTATTTACATTTTTGCATTTAGAACATGGTAGAAGTTACTCTAACCATGTGCATTATTGTGCGTATTCAAAGAGGAAGCTCTGTGCTGGGTCGCTAAACATCCAGCAGAATAAAATGTTTATTCAGCAGTCTTAAACAGTTTCAGAAGTTCATGGCCCTTGAGTAAACCAGACTTTCTATTTCCATCAGTGTTGCATATCAGGACATATTGTGTAGGCAGTTTGGAAATGAAAGTGCACAGTGTATCTGTTTTCTGTTAAAAACTAGCACAGTTTACTTCAGAAAGATGTTTGCGGATGCTAAGCTGCTCTGTTAGACTCCAACCAAAGTTTGAATGGTTAAAAAAAAAGCCCCACTGTTCCTGTCGCAACTATAAGAATAACGCACAAGTGGGAGTGAAGGCAGTGTGTTAACCTTGATTGTGTCTCTTTGTAATCATCAAAATGAAACAGTGTGCTCCTTACGGGTTAAGGAACAAAAACCACAGAAAAGGAAACTGCTCTGTTCTACATTCCTCTTCTGCCAGAAGAAGTTGTTTATGTGAGCATATCAAGGACAGCATCGTGTGATCTGGAACGATTTCAAATTTGAAACCACATTGTGTTTTGGTTTAGTCTGGTTTAGAAGGTTAACTGATCCTTCAAGTCAAAATGATTATTTTGGCTAGCGGACATCTTCCTGTGTGTTACACTCTTCTGTTTTGTCTCCTGTTGGGTAAGACAGTTGCATTTTTACTTAATTATCATTAAATTAAATCATGATGTGTCCTTTGTGTTTTACCACAGACCTCCCATTGCCAATGGGACTCCTTTTCAGGTTGTGTGTATACAGAAGACATCATAGCCACAGTGGGAACAGATGTAACTTTACCATGCAACTATGATGCTCAGTACTATGGCAGACTTTCTGCCTGCTGGGGCAGAGGAGCCATCCCCAACCGTGGCTGTGCCGATGAGGTGCTCAAGTCAGACGGGACATCAGTGGTTGGCAGGCTGTCAGAACGTTACCAGCTTCTGGGTAGACTCAACCAGGGTGACATGTCGCTGACCATCAGGCATGTTGAGGAGAGCGACTCAGGGATGTACGGCTGCCGTGTGGAAATACCGGGCTGGTTCAATGATCAGAAACAGCAGCTGACCCTGAGAGTAGTGGCAGGTGAGACCCACAGTGGTAAATGATCATGTCTGGGAGGGGAAAAAGGTGCATCAGTAAAGGTGACAAATGTTTACTGGGATTCCCTGATGACTTGCTACTTGTTGAAATGCAACAAATGGCCCAGAAACAACGCCGATGTCTGAATATTCTCACATTAGCTGGAACAAGGCTGGGGCAAATTTTGCTTAATAAATGATTTAAATGATAAATTCCTTGTAAAATTGTTTGTAATTTTCTTTTTTTTAATCTGTCGACTGATTAATCGATTATTAGTCTAGGCTCTATACTGTGCAGCATTGCATTTGTTTTTAATTTCTATTTAGGGCACCCTAATTCCCTGAAGGTGGAGACCGGAGAGGTGAAGGAAAGAGCTCTCACTGTTCGTTGGGCTCCTGTGTTTGATGGTGGCAGTCCCATCACATCATACAGGATTGAGCTCAAAAACAAAGGGGGTAAGTACGTGAAAACATCCCAATAATCCTAGCAGAATTTAAACATTAGGTAGCTCATATCTTTCAAAAAGTAACTGGGTGTATCTTATCTACGCATTCCTGTTGCACAGCATCCTGGGATACCGCAGTAACAACTGAAGTCACACATGCATTGACTCAGGTGACTTTGGTGGATTTGCATCCGGCCAAGAACTACAACCTTCGTATGTTTGCTATCAACAGTGTGGGCACGAGCGAGGCCAGCAATGTTCTGATAGTCACAACTAAAGAAGCAGGTAGATTTTGTTAATATTTATTGTTTATGAAGTAATTAAAATAATTACCAGGCTATAATTCTTTTTTTTTGATGGATTTCCCCTTTAAAACTTGTTTTCCCTCTAGCACCAGAGGGTCCTCCACTGGATATGCATTTGGAGGCCGTCACTTCTCACAGTATTAAAGTTACATGGAAGGTGAAGTCACAATTTTGATTCAAAAATCACCTTTACTTAACAGCATTCTCTATAGATACAGTATCTCTGCATATAGTAGCATCATTTTATTTTGCCTTTGTAGCTGCACACAGTTTAGCCTTAATATATCTAAGAAAGCCAAATAAAATTTAAATCCTCACCAAATAATTGTCCTAAGTGTATGTTTTCTCTTGACCAGCCTCCGAAAGCTGATCTCAGAAACGGGGTTGTGCAAAGTTACAGCATTAGCTACAGAGAGTACGACCGTGCAGGCAGACAGTATAAAAAGTGGCAGCAACAAAGTGTGACTGCCACACGGGAACAAGAGAGCGTCATCTTGAACAACCTGAAGCCCTCCACCCAGTACGAAGTGCTTATACAGGCCAAAACCAACGCAGGGATAGGACCTGCCACCACTGCAGCTCTCTGCTCCACTTTGGATGAGGGTAAGAAGCTGAGAAATAACAAAAAAAACATTTATTGAATTATTATTATTATGTCAATTTAATATCAAGCAAACTAACCTAGTTGAAAACTGTATTTTATTGTGTTTCAAGTTCAGTCAACCTCAACAGCACCAGCGATTCAGTCCACATTCCTTCCTGCCACAGTGTGGATGCAACACACCACAAATTTCACCTCTGGTATGTGTTATATATTACAACCATACTCCTTATTAAGCATTTTAAGATCTATGTAAAAAATAAAGTCAAATGAAAATTTTCCTTTTGTTTTTAATATATTATTTATGACTCGAAAATCTATTAGCACCAGCGATTCAGTCCACATCCCTTCCTGCCATAGTGCAAGACACCACAAGTTTCACCTCTGGTCTGTGTTATACAGTGCCTTGCGAAAGTATTCGGCCCCCTTGAACTTTGCGACCTTTTGCCACATTTCAGGCTTCAAACATAAAGATATAAAACTGTAATTTTTTGTGAAGAATCAACAACAAGTGGGACACAATCATGAAGTAGAACGAAATTTATTGGATATTTCAAACGTTTTTAACAAATAAAAAACTGAAAAATTGGCCGTGCAAAATTATTCAGCCCCCTTAAGTTAATACTTTGTAGCGCCACCTTTTGCTGCGATTACAGCTGTAAGTCACTTGGGGTATGTCTCTATCAGTTTTGCACATCAAGAGACTGAAATTTTTGCCCATTCCGCCTTGCAAAACAGCTCGAGCTCAGTGAGGTTGGATAGAGAGCGTTTGTGAACAGCAGTTTTCAGTTCTTTCCACAGATTCTCCATTGGATTCAGGTCTGGACTTTGACTTGGCCATTCTAACACCTGGATATGTTTATTTGTGAACCATTCCATTGTAGATTTTGCTTTATGTTTTGGATCATTGTCTTGTTGGAAGACAAATCTCCGTCCCAGTCTCAGGTCTTTTGCAGACTCCATCAGGTTTCCTTCCAGAATGGTCCTGTATTTGGCTCCATCCATCTTCCCATCAATTTGAACCATCTTCCCTGTCCAGAACAAGGAACACACCAGGCAGGTCCGAGATACTGTTGTGGAGAAGTTTAAAGCCGGATTTGGATACAAAAAGATTTCCCAAGCTTTCAACATCCCAAGGAGCACTGTGCAAGTGATAATATTGAAATGGAAGGAGTATCACACCACTGCACATCTACCAAGACCTGGCCGTCCCTCTAAACTTTCAGCTCATACAAGGAGAAGACTGATCAGAGATGCAGCCAAGAGGCCCATGATCACTCTGGATGAACTGCAGAGATCTACAGCTGAGGTGGGAGACTCTGTCCATAGGACAACAATCAGTCGTATACTGAGATTTGTCTTCCAACAAGACAATGATTCAAAACATAAAGCAAAATCTACAATGGAATGGTTCACAAATAAACATATCCAGGTGTTAGAATGGCCAAGTCAAAGTCCAGACCTGAATCCAATTGAGAATCTGTGGAAAGAACTGAAAACTGCTGTTCACAAATGCTCTCCATCCAACCTCACTGAGCTTGAGCTGTTTTGCAAGGAGGAATGGGCAAAAATTTCCGTCTCTCGATGTGCAAAACTGATAGAGACATACCCCAAGCGACTTACAGCTGTAATCGGAGCAAAAGGTGGCGCTACAAAGTATTAACTTAAGGGGGCTGAATAATTTTGCACGGCCAATTTTTCAGTTTTTTATTTGTTAAAAAAGTTTGACATATCCAATAAATTTCGTTCCACTTCATGATTGTGTCCCACTTGTTGTTGATTCTTCACAAAAAATTACAGTTTTATATCTTTATGTTTGAAGCCTGAAATGTGGCAAAAGGTCGCAAAGTTCAAGGGGGCCGAATACTTTCGCAAGGCACTGTATATTACAAACATACTCCTTATTAAGCATTTTGAGATCTATGTAAAAATAAAGTCAAATGCAAATGTTCCTTTTGTTTTTAATATGTTATTTATGACTCAAAAATCTATTTCATTGCTATATCCAAGTTCACTCAACTTCCCCGGTTGAGACTGTTGCTGCTGCCACAGCCTGGGGACGGAGCACAAGTATCACGTCAGGTACTTCACATGCTTCACATGGAAACATTACACCAAACATGACAGAGTTGATGTTACTCATACAGAGTATATTTTATTTGAAATATTATATCCAAATCCAAGATGGTTTACATGAGTATCATCACAACCTGTCATTCAGCAGAAGAAACATGTACAAATTCATAAAATTAAACTAAGCTGTTTTTCCTTCCCTCTTTTGTGTCTCGTAGTGCCCCCGGATCCCCCAGTAGTTGAGATAAAGGAGGTCATAGATAATACAATTTCCCTTGTGTGGACTCCTGGGTTTGATGGTGACAGCCCTATTACTGGCTACTACCTGGAGTACAAAGCAGTGAACAGTAAGAGTAAAATTCAGCTGGAACTGTCATTCAGCTGTGAACGTCTGGCTTGTTGGTGTTTGTTAATGCTACATAAAATATTTTTCCCCTTACAGCCTCATGGGATTACACAAAGACAGTTGTAGACTTCAGTCCCAACCAGACAGAGGCCACAATAATTGAAATAAATCCCTCAACATACAACATCCGCATGTTTGCTAAGAACAGTCTGGGCACCAGTAAAGCCAGCAACGTCCTCACTATCACTACTGGAGAAGCAGGTGCTGTTTATCTTATTTTCATTGTGTCATTAATATTTTGCATTGACAAGTGTATTAAGTGTATATATTGTTTCTGTAAGAGCAGAAGCTGTGGCCCTTATTTACACTCGGTAAGGCAGAATATATATATAAAAAAGCAACAATATGAGCCCACATTAAGTCCAGTGAACATATAAATGAACACACCGTCCCTCAGGAGACAGGAAACACACTTCATTTGGCCTGATGATGTCTCAGCTTTCCTTAGAATTTTGTTTTTATGTTTTTAGTAAATCTGAAAGGCATAAATTTGAAGACTTCCCTTTTTGCTCAACAGGTCACCAGAGGGACAAGCTCACTACCACCACCCCAACTAACAATCATGTTACTGTAAGTCACAAACCTAGGAATAAAAAAGCAACAATATGAGCCCACATTAAGTCAAATGAATATGGGTCACATTTAGTGACAAACCCAAAGAAACAGGTTAATTTTAACTCTTATACTGTATGTGGGTATCCTGTTAGGTAGTTTAATTTATAACAATGAATCATGTCAAAAGTTTTAGAACACCCCTGTGTTTTAATTGTGATATTTAAGCTGTTTGAGTCCAGTGAATAGCCTGATATATTACATGCCTAAGTAAACAGCCAGAGGTAAAATGAATTAATCACCAAAACTAAAGATTGTAAAAGTTGCAGCAATGAAAACAAATGAAGCCTTAAACACTGATGCAAAAGGTTCTACAGCTGTCCCAGCTTTTGTCGATGCCTTACAACAACAGGTTCTGTCTGTACAAAGGCAGCGTTGGAAAAGATTACTACACCGTCTGAAGCATTACCTGGAAAAAGACGATTATGAAAGGAGGTCAGATTTTTTTTCAGGCTTTCATTCTGCAGCAGGATAAAGAGCCAAAAAACCCCCACCTCCAGACTGTGTAGAGGAAAAGAACAAGACAGTAGGTGTCACATGATGGGATGGCAGCACAGTGTGCAGACCTTCCAGATGAAGCAACCTTACAAGCACTACACATTTGTTTTGCAACAGTGTTTTTGTATCTATCTGAAAAATATTTGTGTTAGACTATAAAAAGAAGGTCACGGGTGTGTTTGGCTGTTGATTTACGCTAACAACAAATGGAAACATGGAGATAACCCTAAAACCTTTGATCGGCAGTACTTTATAACCTCAGTACATTTTGAAAGATAAATATTTATGTGCAAATGAATAACTGAGTATTAAATGAATATAGTGGAGTAAAGAAGTACAGCATTTCCCTCTAAACTGTTGTGAAGTATAAAGAAAGATGAAATAGAAATACTCAAGTAAGTGAGAACCAGAAGATTGAGTGGTAAAAAATAAAATAGAGTTTTGAAAACTGAAGAGTACATAATTGCATAATGCTCCCCCCCAACCCCGGATCCCCAATGAAACAACCACAACACTACATGAATGTTGATATTTCATTTTATCTGCTGGATGAGAAAGTAAGCAGTTGTTTGCTACTTGATAAGCTTGTGATTTGAGGCTGTATCTGTCAGCTTGTTTTGTTGATCTTGTTCTGTTAATGCAACTTTAATGTTCACAAGACAAGTAGAGCCATGTGTCCCCTGAAAGTAAACTTGAACCGTCTTCAAACCTTCTCTGCTAGGTGAGTGTTGAGGACAGGCATAGTGGTCATCTGGCTGCCATTGTGGTGCCGGTGGTGCTGGTGGTCCTGATGGCTGCCATTGCAGCCACATGGCACCTTCGACGTGAGTATGCTCACAGTGACGGGAGCACTTCTTACAGAAGCACAACATCATTTACTTGGTTAATTTAATCCTCGCCTTCTCTGTTCATAGGCATGAAACGGAAACATGGCAGCCTGAGCATGTAAGTGGTTGTGCAATTTGCAACATTTATACAGAGGATTTAACCACTGAGGACATTTTACATTAAGTGCCTCTGCTATTTCTGGTCTGCAGGTGGGGGGCAAATGGGGGAATCCGTTACAGAGTCTCTGAGTCACTACAAGAGCTGTAAAACTCAGAGTTTACATTATGGTGAGATCACAAAACTCACAAATCAGTAGTTTTGAGCTGTATGAAATTTGCAAACAGACGTTATGTCATTGAGGAAAGGAACTGTTTTATTACAACTTCATTTGGTAGTTTATTCAACTAACCTAAGGAGAAATAACCCACACACGACTGTGTGTAACTTAGACAGTGTAACAATGAAATGTTTTCTTTTATTACTGAGTGTTGTTGTAGATCTGCCAGTATTTTCATGTTATTGCACTTTTTTGTATAGTATTAGTTCATCTTTTTTCTAACAGTACGTTTACATCAAGAAATCATTACAATCCCTTTTATTTTGTGATTTTTATGGTAATAAATTTCCACATTACAAATTCATACAATGTACTTTATTTTACTGATTCTAATTGAGTAAAACAGTTTATCATGTCTGTTCAGCTATCACTTAAAACAGTGTTTCTCAAATGGGGGTACTAGTACCCCTAGGGGTACTTTGCTGTGAATTTAGTGATGGTATTGGCTACATTTGAAATGGAGCATTTACGTGTTTTTAGTAAATTTGACACAAATAGTACAGCACAGTGTTGTACCTCTTTATAAAGGCTTCTTTTTCTGTCAATGTTTTGCACTGGTCAGAGGGTACTTGGCCAAAAAAATATTTAAAAGAAGGTACATTACTGAAAAAGGTTTGAGAACCACTGACTTAGAAGAAGAACACATTACATGTTTACCGCCCACAAGTTGTACCAGATGTCCACTGGTTCACACCACAGAAACAAAGGTAGTTTCTGAATGGAGTTTTGGTTGAATAACTAAAATTCAGGTTTACTAAAATATATACTGTGTGTGTATTCCCAAAACCTAATACTGAGTGACTCTGTTGAGTAAAATCTCTTTACTGAAATAATTTGATTTATTATAAAGCTGCATAGACTACACTGAGGAGTGGTGTCGGTAGCCATTCAGTTTGTTAAATATATGCATTCTATCTAACCTAAACTTATATCTGATAAAAAATTTCATCAGCCAAAATAAAGAAAACAGACTTTTGTGTCATTTAAACTTCACATCTCTTACTGTAAAACCAATCATCAGTATCCACTTATAGCCACAAGAGGGCGCCAGAGCCTCAGCAGTGAGTTGATCTAATGATTTCCTTGGCTCACTCTTCAGCTCACTTCGTCATCAGCCGTGCTGTCCTCTGGGGCAGACACTGCAGCCAGCTGGATTTCCATCCATCTGTCATGTAAATCTCTTAATTGTCCTAATTAAGGAGATGAAGAAGAGGAGGAGACCTGATACCTCTGGGGAGCTCTGAGGCAGCTGCCTGCAAGGGTGTCTCTGACTAATGGGGGATCACAGGGGAGATACCCAAGCCTGTGTCTCAGCAGGGACCACATGGCACAGTAGGGATCAATGTATGTGTGCATGAATGAAATGATGCATGAATAGATATTTTTAAGAGGGGTCTCCACTTCCTTTTCTGCCTGTTTACATCTCTTTCTAAAGAAGGCCAGTGATGATGGACCTGTTGTTTCTGCATATGCGTAGTGAGGTGTTACACTTCCTGAAAATGGGCTAATGGTCTACAGTGCTGTAAATATCACTTGATTATTGGTTTGCAGCGGTAACCCATCACAAACTCAGCGATGCTGACGCACAAAGCCACAGTCCACTGTGTAACAGCGGCCTGTAAACACAGGGCCACCACATCCCTCCTCTGCAGACTTCTTCTCATCTCTGGACCCCTCACTTCCTGTCCCCTGCCCTTCTCCCTCTCCCTGCTTACTCACTCTGAAGGTTTTGCTTACACAAACTCTTCCTGTTTCGATGCGGTCCTCCACCTCTACACCTCTCCGTCCTCTTCACCTTTCATCCTTTGTGTGCCACTTAGATAAACAGGAAAAATAGGCAGCAATGGCTGGATGACTTTGATGAGGTTGCTTTGATTGGCCACAGAGCTATAAACCAATTTATCTCCTACTCTTGCCCTTATTGGTTCCCCTTGGACCAGGCCAAGGTAAACCACACAAGGCAACAACTCAGCAGACCAAGGATGAAGAGTGGGACACAAATGGAAAAAAATGACCTGCAGTTGATATAGAAAATGTGTCATAACCCCAGCAATTTAGTCACCTCATTCACAGCATGGCTTCTTCACCAGCTTTGAACATCTTCTACTGAGATCAAACATCCATTAAGGTAACAACACCGTGTTCCTTATGGAAGCCATGCAGAGCTGTCTCAGCTGTATCTAGTAAAGACTTCAGTGTGAGTCTGCAGGTGGGAGACTGAGGAAGGAGGAAGGAGTGTACGGTCATAATAATGGGATTATTAGCAGTGGGGACAAAGTTAGTACAGTAATAAATCATTCTCTATGGTTTTGGCCACATCAAGGCTCCAGCACTCAGGAAGCGGAGATTGTGAATAGTGCCACACACACCAAAGACTGAGCTCCACAGGAGGGACTGGTCTCCAGGCATCTTTGCACCAGAACGGATGCAGGAGCCTGAGCCTAAGGAGTTGCCAGATGTTGGCCCTTCTGGAGTGCTGTATGAACCTGTGAGCAGCAGGGCAGATGAGATTGTTGAACAGAACAGAACTGAAAGGTGCAGGGTTGTGAGGTAGAACAAAAAAGAGAAGGGCAACACAGAGCCTGTTTGAGAAAGCAGACGGAGTACTGGGGAGCAGTCTATTTGCTGTTGAAAGGGGCACTAATTCGTTCAAGTCTTTACTGAAACACAGCGACAGCTCAAAGGAAACTTTTCATCCCATTAAAGTGAAAACAAAGCAAAGTGATAATTATAATAATCAGGACCATAGGTCGTGTTTGAGCTGGACAACATTCAAAGAAATCACAGTTACTGGTTAGGTAGCGAGTCTCCTCACTCGTGATGAGGTCTGACAGTGCATTTGTGTGTGTGACCTGATTAGCCAACCTGAACTAGATGGAAGATAGTGCACATATTTGAAGGTCAGACATAACAGTTACCATGGAGACATCACCGAGTAAACCGAGTCCAACATTGCACTGCACCGTTGCATCCCCGAGGGACCTGCATTCAGCCTGTGTGTGTTGGTGTGAATCTGCATACTTTTGCACGTGCGGTTTTCAGTGTGTGTACAATTTAAGCATATTTGTCTGGAAAGGATTTACGATTCCGATATTTTATTGCTCCTCATTCCACTGATTGGAGAAATTAAATTTAGATAATGAAAAATCCATGTACAATACATTTTAAAGTAGTTTGAAGTAATGTGCTACCATACAACTGATGTGTAACTAAGATTTTTAAAATGATTTGATAAATGTAACTGTATACTTTTACCTTTGAAAGCTTGTGTGTGTTAAAACGGACATTTGACAGTCTGTAGGTGCATAATGTTGTACAATATGATGTGTATATAAAGTTAACAGTCTGTAAAGATTCAGCATTGCACATTATTACTGAGCAGATCTTGAGCTAAGTGGCGAAATTCAACCTTCTCTGAGGTCTAAGTTTCCATAGAAACACACTAGACTTTATATTGATGTAGCGGGTTTATCAAATGCTGAAAAAAAATGCATTTGGCAGCCACTCACTGAGGACAGAAATAGCTATACTGACATGCTTGTTGCCTCCCTTTGCACACCCATAATCCTTATGCTCACAGATATTTCCATAAACGTTTGAACATCCCAAACCATATCTTGTACGATTCATATCACACGTCACCGCTCATTCATCCAGCATTAAATGTCAGAGCTTTGAAAAGAGGCATGGGCCTTAATCTGTTTAAATTAGCTTCCTTCTCTGCACTAACACCACTGACTTTTTCTCTCTCTCTTTTTTTAAGCACCTGCCCAGAGGCGAGTTCTAGTAAGGAGAGGCGTCAAATTGGAAGACCTCCATCGTCCTGGCAGCTGAACACAGTGGAAGTCTTGGATCTGTTCAGGGGATTGGACCAGCTGAGCTCTGCCACAGAAGACAAGTGGCTGGCACTGTTGAATGGGAACAGGACTGTGGAAGGATGGAGGGAGAGGGGGAAGGTAGGGGGAGAGGAGGGAGGGAGAGGTAATCACATCAGGGGATTAGTTGTTGTTATTAATGGAGGATAAGGCTCTTTGCCTTCACTCTCTCGTTCACATGCACACACAGTGTGCACATACTCTCTATCTATCTATCTATCTATCTATCTATCTATCTATCTATCTATCTATCTGTCTATCTATCTGTCTATCTGTCTATCTATCTGTCTGTCTGTCAGAGGGTAATTCAATTACACAGCTGCCTCTCCTCTCTCCGCCCAACCTCTGGCCTACGGCAATGCGTTATGATTATGGTTTGTAATATCCTCGCTACCTACTTCATGAGGGAGAAAAATGATCTGCTCCCATGAGTGTGTGTGTGTGTTTGTGCTGGCATGCCACCTCTTGAAAGATGGCCATTCAGTGGTGAACAAACAAGACATTTGTCTAAAGTCTTACATCACCTCAGGGAAGACTGTGGAAATGTGCCTTGCCAGGTTATCTTTCGCTGTTATATTGTTTTCCTGTGAGTCAGGATCTAAACTTCATGACATGATTTGCGCAAAAAAAAAGTATAAAATGTAATATTCTCGACACCTGCCTGTCATTTGCTCCACATACTGTACACACTGAGAGGTAGTTTGGCATAGTGTCTAACCTTTATCTTCACTCTAAGGTCTACAAACGAGACATGGCTGCTCTGACAACAGTTGTGTGTCAACAGAGGAGAAGTTTGTGGACTTATTAGTCTGAACATAACCAAATACACACACGCAAACGCACATGCATAGTCAGATGACAGTCATAGAGGCTTCTCAGTGAGATGTATAGGCCCTGGCTAAAGAGGCACATTTGCAGGATCTTTCATCAGTGGAATTTGCCTCAGCCTCACACAGAGCCACAAAGACAACAGCATCCCACCGTGAGCCACAGACACTGCTGCACTGCACTTTCATCATTGGAATGGAGTTTCACAGCAGTGGCAAGGCAGCCAAAGTCCCCGAGCCCTATCTTACCACCCAAGGACCCTGAAGGTGCAGCGGCATGGCAGAGCAGCTCAGAGACGACACAGATAAACCAACAGTATCCACATGAATGGCAACAAAAACTGGAGGTAGGGATGGAAAAAGTTATTTGAGAAGCATCCAGTCATACCTTTTGGTTAAACCAAGAGGCAGCAGTGATAATGTATGTTCAATATTGTCTTTGCTTTGTTTGTTTTTTCTGACAGCTTTAATGTAGATACAACAGAGCAACTTAACTTGTGCATGAAACTTCTTCACCGATGTAGTTACATAGGCTAAATAAATTGGTACTTTGTTGCACTTTTCTCCAAATA